CTCTAAAGAGAGGATGAAGTTAGGATATCCAGAATATAACCAAAAGAAGGAAATGGCTTTGCTTCTTTGAAAACTGCCTATAATATTCCTAAAACATTTCTGTTTAAACCTGAAATTTGTATTCCCACAGATACAGTATTGTTAAAATGAAGATTAAGTTACCATTCAAACCCCCAACACCAAATTAATCTGCAAAATACCTAAACTACAGTATTAATAAATCTATTTCAGTGTTAACTAATCAAATTCATTTTTTTTCCTACAGGCAACTGTAACCCAAATTCTAACTAAGGAAATCAGTAATACCCCATTCCTTTGGTTTTTAATTTTGTTTTGCTTTCCTCAAGCCACCAGGGGGCACAAGGTAATAGTCTCAGTGCTCTAATAGGCAAACTCTAACATGGGTGTGGAAGAAAGGGGAACCTTCCTGCAGGGCCTCCGTGAGTAACTACATCACATGAGTTAAGCCACCTCTCCAGACCAAGAGAGTTCAGATTTGGGGAAGAGAGAAAATAGAGTCCACCAGGGGCTGAAATGAAATCTAGAGTTATGTATCTGCATCTTTAGAGTCCACATGTAGGATCCGTGTCAGGACTATACCCAGGTGAGAGTACAGGGTTCAGAAGAGGTAGCATGACTTGTATTAGTCTCACCATCTTTACTCTGAGGCTCACCATTCAGAAAGGAAGGGGACCTGTTTTATTTATACCCGATCCCCTAGGGATGAATAAAAGATAGAACATAGAGACTTCACTGATTGCAGGAGGCATTCAGGTTCATAAAAAAAGAAAACTTTAGACTATAACCATTGATAAAGACTGAGTGAAGTTACAAAATCTCATTGCCTGATGAATTTCTACAATAAAATAAACAACCATGCATTTGAATGGTTTAGATTACTTTCTGCTGACAGCCAAGAAGACAGAAACATAACCAATATTCTGAAATACTAAAATTTCATAATTTTTCCCATTACGATATTTTTAAAAAGAAAGCAATTCACATGCTTGTTGAGGGCTGCAGACTACTACCAGTTTTCTAGAAGAGCTCTGGATTTTTACAAATTATGTATTTCATCCTTTAATAATTAGGGGTTTTTTCTCTTTTAATACTACAGTATCACAGCCAGGTTTACTATAATTATTACAGCAATAAGACAGATTTTCAAAAAAGTAGTGTCTTATTTAAGCTTGGAATGAAATTTAAAAAGCATTAATAAATAGTTACCACGATCCAAACACTGAAGACTCTGTAAAAACATAAAATACAATGAATGAAAGCTCCTTTATGCCCATGTGCCAGCCTGTCTACACCCACCACACCTTCCAATAGAAACCCGTTTTCTACGACTGCTACTACTTTAAAGAAGAATTGTTCTGGCACCCTGAAGAATGTCAGTGTATAAAGGTCAACCAGTTCCAGCTTGAAAACCTTTGTAGAAAATTTACTGTTGATTAAATGAATAGCTGTTGTGCCGACATAGTAACACTGTGTCAAGTAATTAAGATGTAAAAAAAGAATCCTTTGGGGGGAATTACTAGGGCAAAGTAGATACTCTATAAAAGCTTTTTTAAGAATGAAGTTGGTAGTCATTGTTGAATTTGGGGGGGATCATTCCCTCCCCCTTAGGCATTTTAACCCTGATTCAGGAATCACTTGTCCACAGATACGCTCTATTCTTTCTCTCTGCAATCCTTTATCTATCTTCCCCCTATAAGACAACATATATTTTTAAAAACTCTTCTGTTTCTTACCGCATGGGAACCTAAATTCAAACCATTTGAGATGCCTACTGATTAAAGTAAGTACAAGGTAACCAATCAGATACACCTTCTGCACAGGACAAGCCCTTCAAACAAGCTAGGCAGACAACAAAGAACATGGGCTCACTGAGTTCACCTAATACATGTTATTAACATGAATAAAGTCAGCCCTATGATTTATTCATTACTTATTTCCATTTAAAGTGAATTTGCAAAAATGCTCCTGTCAGAAAAATTCCTATCAAAACTCAAATTGTCATCATGTATCAAGGACATCTCAGAATGGAAGAATGAATGCCTACTCCTCAGGGTTGCTTCCTCCTCACACAAACTGCCTGGGGCACAAATCACTCAGGGAAGACTGCCAGCTGTTGGGGAAACACACATCCTCCGTCACCGTCCCATTACTGAAGGATACAATGGGCTCTTTAAGCACTAAAACAAAACAAACTTACTAGAATATAAAGATAAATTACTGGCATTTGCCTGCTTCTGATGTTATGATCCGTGATAATTAGTTTTATGTGTCAATTTGGCTGAACCACAGTGCCCAGATATTTGGTCTAATATTATTCTGGATATTTCTGTGAAAGTGTCTTTTGGATGAGATTAACATTTAAATCACTGAACCTTGAATAAAAGCAGATTGCCCTCTATAAGGCGGATGATCCTCATCCAATCAGTGGAAGGCTTTAACAGAACAGAGGCGACCTGGCCCAAGCAAGAAAGGATTCTGCCAGCAGACTGCCTCTGGATTTGAACTGCAACTCTTCCCTACGTCTCCAGCAACTAGTCTACCCCAAACCTACACAATCATGTGAGCCAGTTCCCCAAATCAATCTCTCTCTCAACACACACACACACACACACACACACAAACACATGCACACACTCCATCCTGTTGACTATTTCTCTGGAGAACTCTGACCAATACATTATCCAAAAGAAAACAAGACTTTGTCTTGAAGTTTTTTTAAGAAGGCATATGATTTGTTTGAAGATCAATAATCAATATTAACTAAATCAACAATGAGTGTTGCTAGTCAGATACCAGATGTGGAAACTTAGTTCTTCACCAGTTTCTATAATTTTCCCAAACACTGGTAAGAGACACTGCTTTATCCACAGAAGAGAAAGTTAATTTGTTAAAAAAAAAAAAGTGCTTGAGACTAAAGGTCAAGATACAAATTTAAATATTTATCAGCATCTTTGCAGATGTACAAAAATAAGTCAGCACATACAGAGACACACACAAATATGCACAGCTCCACATTCCTTAGAAAATTAATAAATAATAAAATAAAGGTGCAATGACTGATTATCCTTAATAAATTATTACTGATTAATCATTATTTGCATTACCTTTCTCAATTTCTCATAAGAAAGAAGAACAGTAACAAGAAGGACTGAGGTACAATAAGCAATATATTTGGTCTTTGGCCCTGGTTCCTGGCACAATGCTCCTAAAACCCTTGGGATTTCCTGAGTGAAAGCAGTGTCTTCATTCAGAAGGAGCCCCTTTTGAGCACACCAGAGCTAATGAGGTGACTTAGGGCCCCTAAATAGCCTCAGGACAGGGCTGGTCACTAGAGAGACAAGTGATTAGAGGGTTGGAATTTTCAACCACACCCAGAGATCTCTTGGAAGGGCAAGAGGGGCTACATATTAGGCTCTATAAAAACTCCTGAAACAGTAAGAGTTGATGAGCTTCCAGGCTGGTGAGAGCCTCCATGTGCCAGGAGGGTGATGCACTCCAGGTCCATTGGGACAGAAGCTCCGTGCTTGCAGACTTTGCCCTATGTTACCTCTTCACCTGGCCATCCACCTGAATCCTTGGTAAAACCCTCTATAATAAACTGGTAAGTGTAAATAAATGCTTCTCTGAGTTCTGTGAGCCACTCCAGTAAATCTGAACAGGAGATAGTGGGAACCTCCAGTTTACAGCCAGTCAGTCAGAAGCACAGGTAACAACCCGGACTTGAGATTGGGGTCTGACGTGGGGCAGTCTCACAGGACTGAACCCTTACCCTGTGAGGTCTGGTGCTACCTCCAGATAGTGTTACAACTGAATTAAATTTATAGACCAGCCAGCCGGTGTCTACTGAGAACTGAAGATCTACTTGGTGTGTTTAAACACACAAACACACACGTTGCGCACGCATGTACACACATACACACTTATCAGAAGCACTTTAATCTCAAGAAGCAGTGACCTGACAATTTCTTCACATAAAAGAATCACCTGATCTTCAAAATGATAATTACTGGGGTTTATAAAGACTCCCACATATGAAGTTAGCACCACAAGAGTGTCTATATCAACACAACCCTGGTTAAAATTCATGTTTTATTGTTGCATAGCAAAGAAAAGGAAAATAAAGGAGAGAAGGACTTCCAAGTGGTAGGTGGAGACAGACACACAGATCTCACAGGGAACCTAACAAATACCAGTTCAGGATATGCAGCTATCATGTTACAAAGCCAACACTTTTAATTCTACCATATCTATCTATGGCAATGGGCCTCAAAGCATGGTCTCCAGTTCAACAACATCACCACCACCTGCAAAGCTGTAGAAATACACATCCTTGGGCCCCACCTCCAGACCTACTGAACCAATCTCTGGAAAAGGAAGCCAGGAATCTGTTTTAACAAGCCTTCCAGATGATTCTGACACACACTAAAGCCCGAGAACCAGTAACCTCCAGTAAAGTCAAATACCTTTAAGTATGAAACAGAACTGAATCAGGAAATTCTAGAAACTGAATGGCAGAATTTTCACATCACTATGGATCACGTGATACTAATAGAATCCCTCCTTTTTGTAAGTCATTTATTCAAAAATGCTTTCCCACTACATAACTGATAATATTTAAGATTTTTCCAATGACCTAAACTTTTCTGCCCATTAAGCTGCTTTGTGCTTACCAAGACAGAACAATATCAAAAGTTTTTAGGAAGGATGATGATACACTCCCAGGCAAATTTATAGGCTGAGTGTACCATATTCTAAATTGCTAAGCTTTGAATTAAACTTTTTTAGTTCTTCCATCATATGGGATATGAAAGTTGTCAGTAGAAAGAAAAAGGGCAAAAATATATATAATATTTCTATGACGTTTTCACTTCCCTATATGAAAATTTGCCAGTGGGGACAAAAATCCTGTCAAAGAGGCAATTCCTCAGCCAATTTAATTCACGCTAATTAGCATTCCTTTGTAGAGGGTAGATAAATACCTTTAAACTGCTTAATCATGTTCTGATGGTTTTCAATGGCTTCCTTTAAGATCATTTCAGGCTGGTCCATCTTCCACCTCCATTCGGTGCCCACTGGATTTGTGTGGTGCCTGAGAACAAGAGGCAAAAGTTCTAAAGGACTCTGTAATAACATCTCAGCTAGTCATCTACTGTGCAGTAGTGGTAAAATCATAAAATCAAAGTAGTAAAACCATAAAGTCATAAAATCAGAGTTGGTTTCCCCCGAAGAGTTTAGCTATTTATAGCAGTGTTTTCTGGCTTAAGTCATGATATCTAGCAGAGAAGGTTAGATGGAGAAGTGCCTGGCTAAGGTTGGGGTTTAATTAGAACAATAAAAAACGTGCAAACTTTTCTTCCAGTCACCCACTTCCAGGCTAACAAGCATCCATTAATGACTAAGAGAATATTTCTGGAAGAGTTGCAAAATCACAGTAATTGGCCCTCCCTGAGAGACAGCACAGTGGGAACACCTAAAGTTTAGGATGGATGAGGCACTGAGAAAAAAAATTCTGTCAAACCAGCCCCCATGCCACACTTAAGGTATCCTCTAATGGAATTTTAAGCCAGTGGTATAATGAGAGTAAGCACAGAAACAACAAATCTCAACTCAAGCCCAGCTCCTGACTCATTAACCTAAACTCCAAAAAGAAAAGTCCAAGCAGAAAGGAAAGGTATACTGATTTCCAAACACAAAAAAACACTCACCTCAGTCTCTAATATAATAAGTAAGAAGTCTGACTTTAAACAACAAAAAAATATGAGGCATAGAAAAACAACACATTTCCAACAGACAAAGCAGTCAGCAGAACCAAACTCTTAACACAAATGTTGAAAGTATTTGACAGGGAATTTTGAAAACAATGATTAATACGTTAAAAGCCCTAATAGAAAAGGTGGGTAATATGCAAGATCAGATGGGTAAATTCAGCAGAGAGATGGAAATTATAACACACAAAGAGAAATGCTAAATATGAAAGAACAGGCTTTTGACAGGTTCAGCAATAACTAGTAAAGCTGAGGAAAGAGTAAAAAAAAATTTGGGAGATCAGTGTAAATAAGCGACCTAAAACACAAAGTTTTCTTTTTTAAGTGGAAAAAAAGGGACACTGCATCCAAGAGCTGTGGGAGAACACAAATAGGCCCAAAATATACATACTTGGAATCCCAGAAAGAAAGCAGAGATAACAAAGCAGAAGAAATAGTAAAAAATGATAGCTAACAATTTTTCACAGGTAATGAAAAACCACCAGAGATCCAAGAAGCTCACAGAACCACCAGGACATTTAAAAAATTAAAAACAGCCTAAAAATATCATATCCAAATGATGAAAACAGAAGGTACTGATAAAATCTTTAAGAGAAAAAACACATTACATAAGAACAAAGATTAAAAATTACATCTGACAACTCATCAGAAAACAAGCCAGCTGAAACCATGACACCTGAGAAGCATGCTTAAAAGAAACAAAACGCATCAACCAGAATTCTATACCCAGTGAAAGTATCTTTCAGAAATGGAAAATAAAGGCTTTTGCACACAAAATCTAAGAGATTTCCTCCTCAGCAAACCTACATTACAAGATATGTTAAAGGGAACTGCTCAGACTAAAGAAACATACATATGGTAGATAGACACCTGAATCTGTACAAAGAAATAATGAGCACTGGAAAAGGGGGGGAAAGGAGAAAAATCATATTTACCTTTTTTACCTTTAATTGCTCTAAAAATGGTAGAGGGGAATAAGAAATATACTGTTGTGAAATCCTTATACTACACATGAAGTGGTATATTATTTGAAGTGGTGTATTATTTGACTCTGGTTATGTATACTGTAAACCCTAGGAGAATCTCTAAAATATTTTAAAGGTATATAAAGAATAAGCCAAGACTGAGCATAGAATAAAATCATTTAAAATACTCAATTAACATGAGAGCAGGCAGAAAAATAAAAAACAACACAGAGAATAGAAAACAGCAAGATGTAGAATTTAATCAAACCATACCAATAATCACTTTCAGTATAAATGGTTTAAACACACCAGTTAAAAGATATGATCGGGTTAAAACACAAGACCTGAAAAAAAAATGGGGTGCCTGGGTGCTCTGTGAGTTATAAGCATCTGACTCTTGGTTTTGGCTCAGGTCATGATCTCAGCATCCTGGGATCGAGCCCTGCATCGGGCTCCATGCTCAGCTTGGAGTCTGCTTGGGGATTCTCTCCTTATGCTCCTCCCCCCACTCCCTCTTTCTCTCTCTCTCCAATAAATAAATAAATCTTAAAACACACACACACACACACACACAAGACCTGCCTATATGGGGCCGGCATTACTCTAATACAAAAACCATATTAAGATGTTACAAAGAAAGAAAACTACAGACCCATACCTTCCATGAACACAGAGACAGAAACCTAAAACAAACAAACAAACAAACAAAAACCCTACTAAGCAAACTGAATGCAGGAACACATGAAAAGGAAAATGTGTCACAACCAAGTAGTTTATCTCAGAAATACAAGGCTGGGTCAGTATGCAAAAATCAATCACTCTATCTTACCATTTTAACAGAATGAAGAACAAATGATCATATGAATAGAAGTATCTAATAAAATTCAACATCCAAAAAAAAAAAGAAAAATTCAACATCCATTCATGACAAAAACTCTCAGTAAATTAAAAATAAAAGGGAATTTCTTTAATTTTATGAAGGGATCCAAAAAAAAAAAAAAACCTCCTCACAGCTACCATCAGACTTAATGGTGAAAGAATGAATGTTTTCCTCTTAATATCTGAAACATTGTAAAAATGTCCTTTCTAACTACTCCTATACAGCATATAAGTCCTAGTCAGTGAAATGAAGCCAGAAAAGGGAATAAAACTCTCTCTTCACAAATGACATGTTCATCTACATAAAAATTCAAAAAAATCTACAAAAAATAGACTGGAACTAATGAGAACTAGTAAGGGAACCTAACAAGTACATGAGATATATGATCAATATACAAAAATCAACTGTCTTTGTTATATGCAAGAATGTGTGGTATTGGCCAAAGAGAGACACACACAATAACAAAACAAATGAAACCAGAAATATACCCAACATATATTATCAACTGAGTTTTGACAAAAGGTGCAAAGGCAATTCAAGGGAGAAAGGATAATCATTTCAATAAATGGTGCTAGAACTGGATATCCAAAAGCCAAACAAAACAAAAGATCTTCTGTCCCTACCTTGAACATCATCTGATAGCATGTACCAACACTTTAAAAAGAACAGTAATGGAAAATCTGGCAAAATCTCAACAGTCTCCAGTTTAATTAATAGTATTTTATCTATTGCAATTAATAAGAAATATTAATTTCTTGGTTGTCATAACTGTCCCATCATAAAGTAAGATATTAACATTAAGGAGGTGAATGAAGGGTATACCAGAACTCTCTATACGACCTTTACAACCTGTCACATAAGGAAAGGTTTCCTTTTCTTAAAACACTAAACCTTGTTGGAAACATAGGAAAGAAGTATTCATATTCACATACTGAAGTATAAATTGATATAATCTGTGTCCAAAATATATAAAAATGCAAAAACATTTGTACAGTGGAGTACTAATTACACAGCCAGCTATAATAACAAACAAACAAAAAAACACCTATCTTGATGAGCACTGAGTAATGTACAAAATTGCTGAATCACTTGGGGCACCTGGATGACTGTCCTTACTTCCGACCCTTGATTTCCACTCAGGTCATGATCTCAGGGTTGTGAGATCAAGCCCCGCTACAGGTTCCATGCTGCGTGTAATGCCTGCTTAAATTCTCTCTCTCCTTCTCCCCCCACACTCACACTCACTCTCTCTAACAACAACAAAAAAAAATTGTACAATGAAACTAATATAACACTATACGTTCATTATACTTCAATTTTAAAAAAGAAAAAATTATATTTACAAAAATTAAACCCATCTTTTTTTTTTAAGATTTTATTTATTTATTTGACAGAGAG